AAATAATTCAAGCACAATAATAGAATTTAATTCTCTTTTAGCAGAACTTTACCCATCAGGATATACTTTCAAAGAACATGAACTTAGAGCATGGAGAGCAATGCTTAAAGCAGCTGGTTGCCATAATGTAACTCCATTTGAAGATGATGAATCTAAGGTAATTTAATGAAGATAAATTTAAATTCAATTTTTATTTAAAATTAATAAATTTGAAAAAAAAAAAAATATATAGTATCAATTTTGGAGTTGTTCACTAAATACATTACAAGATCAACAAACACTTTCTCAGTTGTATTCTCAGGGGTTTCTGTCACCAACACCAATACATAAAAAAACTCCAATAGATGAAGAGTATATAAGCAAAAAATTTTGGGAATGTTTGGAGAAGCACTAAATGAAAATAAAAAGGGGCAAGATGGTTGTATTCATGTGCTGTCAATAATTGCAAACAAATTTACCTATGCTGAACTGCAAGAAAAGCTTTGTGTAAGTAAATTGTCACATCATTAAAATTTTTGAAATTGTATTTGTATTATTTACTTTTAATAATACTTATGTTTTATGAAGCTTTCAGCAAACAGTGTGACCAGTGCCAGATTGTATGCTAAAACCAATGGCCCTGGTTGCCTTGCATTAAGCAAACCTGCAATCACTAAAGTAAAACTGTCAAAAGAATCACTGGATCAATTTATGACATTTTTACTTGATAAAAATAATACAACACCAAGTTCATATAAGGTAAATGAAGCAAGTGGCCTACCTGTAATGTATTTAAAAAACAATAAAGAATCATTATGGCAGCATTTTTTTGAATTATACCCAGATGGTATGAAAAGGACAGCTTTTATGACAAGATTAGAAGATAGCCGATTTGTATATCGTGAAGATCTTGGTGGCTTGTGTTTGACATGTAATGAATATGGATTTGGTGTTTTTGAAGAGATGAAATCACTTGTTCAAGAAAAAATTAATAGAAAAGATATCCAGGTTAGTGAATTGATGCTCAAATGATTTTAAAGAAATATTTTTTAATTTGATTATTCATTACTAGAATGAATTGATAACTCAACTTGAAAAAACACAACGTCATTTGAATTGAGAATATGGAAATGAATTGATTATAGATGACCTTGGTAATGTGCAGCATGATAATTGTATTGAACATTGTTTAAACTTTGCATTTGGTGATTAATGAACATCATCCTATTAGTTGTGAAAATAGATATTATTTTCCAAAAGATTCTACAATTTACTCCAGATGAAAAAAGCCAAATAATTGAACTCTGGGAAAAATTACAATATTTCTAGGCTCACCAAGCCAGGAAAACATATCTCAATGCACAATTACTTTGTCTAGATAAGGATGGTGTTATGATCATAGTTGACTACAAAATGAAGATTTTGCCTCAATCAGCATGAGAGGTGAAATCTGATTTTTTTGGAAAAAAAGGATATACTTTGCATACCTTACTAGTATATACAAGAAAATCTGATGATTCTACTTCATTGAATCTTGAGGTTTTAGATCATTGGTCATCTGACCCAACACAAGATGCTTGGTTCACAGCATCATCCTTTGATGGTTTATTTTCTACAATGGAAAAAAAACCTTTATGGATTGAAGTATTGTCTGATAATGGTGCACATTATCATAATAAAGAGTTGATGATGATGATGATTAGTCAATGGAGTAAATGGTATAATATAAAAATAAGATCATGGATTTTTTTGAAACCTGATGAAGCAAAGACTACTGTTGATTCCCACCATGCACAAGTATGTTTATTTTATTAAAAATTTTTTACCTATATATAGAGTAATAAATAAATTTGATAATTTTAGTTAAAGCATGCAATAAAACAATATGTATGTATTGGATATGATATCCGGAGTGGGGAAGATATGGTAAATGCAGCAAAAGGACTTCAAGGAACATCTTAACCCTAGCAAAAGACCAAAAAAAGCAAATAAAACATTATCCATTCTAGAGGGTATTACAAATTGGTCATATTTCACTTGGCCTACAGATGGTGACTTATCTGGCTATATTTGTGCACATTCTTTACCCAATTTTGGTACATGGGATACCTTTTCACCATTTGATATTAAGAAATCTCTAAAAGACCAAGAATTAATAAAACCAAATCCATCAACTTCAGTCAAAACAACACCAAGCTCAGAATGGACTATTCCATTGTCTAGTAAAGGTAGGATAAAGTTTAATTTTAATTTAAAAGACAAATTATTAATGAAATGAATTAAATTATTTTATTTATAATCACCACCACTATTATTATATTATATATTTATTTTATTATTGCTACTAATACCAATTCTATTAATAAATTTTTTTTTTCAAATTTATTATCTTATTATATAATTTTTTCTTTTCCACAATTCATTTTTTTAGAGAAAGATCCAAAGAGATTGTCCAAAGATGTTGTAAAAGCTGAATTGAAAAAAAAGAAAAATTGAGTATGAAGAGAAGGAAAGTAAAAATGAATTATAGAAAAACTATGAAAGCAAATTGGAGAAGAAACTCTAAATAAAATCAAAGGTATATTATATAAATCTAAATAAACATTTTTTTATCTGAGCTTATTTCCCCTATGAAAATTTGTGTAGAAATTCATTCTCAAGGTGCAGTGTTGAACAATGCACCATCCATATCAATTGAAATGTCCAAAACAAAAAAACGCCATATAATGATACCTGGGAATGAAGATGAAGCAGTCAAAAAGAATGAATACAGGTACTCTATAATAATAATAATGGACCTTTCTGTAATGGGTCTTGTTCTGTAACAGACTGAGAATTTAAGTCCAATTTATATGTCATCCATATATAAATTATTATTGTTTATAACAGACATTGTTTCTTAAGTGAACTATAAATGGGAAAAAAATTAATATAATAATAAATATTAAATTAACAAATTTTAAATTCTCTAGAAGGAATTACTTTGAATTGGTTGGGCTCTTCGTGAAAGCCAAAATTTTGGAAAGCGTGGTGGAAGTAAACGCATGTCTGAACAGGTAAAACAACTTCTAAGAGCCTATTTTTTGTCAGGAAATGTAGATAAGAAGAATAGATTCACTGCTGAAACGATGCTTGCAGATCTAAAACAAAGAGTAGAAGCAGGCGTGTTGGATCCGGATGAGTTACCAAAAATAAAAACTATAGAAAATTGGATAACGCGTTTTAGTAGAGAACATAAAAAAGAATCAGCTGAGAAAGAATTGGACATTATGTTATAAACAAACATACGAACCAATAAATATAATTTTGTTTTGTCATTTTTTACAAAAATGCAAATGGAAACATGATGTTACGGTAGAAAAGTAAAGCGAACTGGATGATTTTTACTATAAAATGTAAATGCACCCCGCAGATCACTAATTCAAAATTCACTATTTAATTATTACGTATAGTATATACTTTACAAAACCAACAAAATAATTTATTACTTTTGTAAGTTTTAAAAAAAAACGAATAAATAGTATTTAATATTTTTTTTTATATATTCTTAAAGAAAATTCCTGGCTCTCCAGGTACTGCAAACTCCGTTAATCTTTTTTCATCTTCTGAAACTTCCTCGGCATTCACAATTTCTGATTGAGCATATCCTAAACTACGTTGAATAAATCCTTTTGCTATAACAAGCGTGTCATATTCATTAAATAATAATGCCCTATTAAATGCTTCTTTGCCAAATTTCTCAACTCTCTTTTTAAAATCTTGTACAAATGGCATGGTTTTTTTGTTTTTTAGGATTCCCTTCTCTCCTAAATTTGCTCGAATTTTACCATCATCAAATGAATTGGATTCCTAATTTTATATAATAAATAAATCGATCATATTACTGTTAATCTTTTGGGGTATTATTATTTTTATTTTTTTTAGACACAAACCTCATCATAATTTTGTTTTATAGCTTCAACCACCAAATCTTGCCACTCTGGAAATTTTGTTGCAACAAACAATTTAAGAGACTTAGGTTTATTGGGATCAAAATCATCTGCTTTACTACCCTTTTTCTTTTTTTTTTGTGAGGCACCTTCCAAATCACGAATGTTTTTTATTAATTTTCTAATATATTCAATTGCTTCAATTAAACTTTCATCAACAGGTTCTGATGGTGAAGGGAATGATGCATTTACTATCAATCCATCCTAAAATAGTTGAAAATTATTTTTAATCAAATGGTATAGTAATATTTATTAAAAATAATAATACCAACTTTTTGTAAAACTTCGCTCCATATATATTCAGACCAATTGGTGATAATAATAATGCTTGTAACTCTATCCATCTTAATATTAAATCTCGATGCATTCCTTCACCTTCTTGTGATGTTGCTTCACGATACCAATCACGAGATGTTTGTAATTCATAAAAACCATATTTTAATGCATCACGGTAAAATGAACTTTTCATTATAAACAAGGGAAAAATATATAAAATTAAATAAAATTTTAAGTATAATATAAAACAAATCATTATTTCTACATACTCTTCGTAAGCATTCCTAGTTTGTTGAATTAACTTGTTCATTTCATTTTTGAAAACCCTATCATGAAAACTATCTGTTGGTCCAGTACGAAGATTATCTTTATTTTTGATTTGTTCCTTTAATATAAATAATAATATTCTTATTATCATTAACTTTTTTTTTTTGAAAAAAAAAAAAATGGTTCATTTGTTTGTGCATAAACAAACAAACAAATCACACATTTAACAAACCTCACACCATTCTTTTAATGTGAATAATCTTAATATTGCAGCATTTGCAGTAGCTTCCTCAAAATTTGCATCCTCAACTGAATCACCTGCATCTGCCAAACTAATTCTTGATGCATCTGCACCATATCTTTCTATTGACTCATGACCGGTTAAGAAATTTCCTGTGCTTTTACCCATTTTCTCTCCATTTAATTGCAAATGTCCATTTGACCTTATACCACAAGGCCAATGTTTTTCGGGAAATATGGCTACATGATTATATATGAAAAATGTTAAATGATTTGGTATTAGATCTTTACCAGAAACTCGAAGATCCAGTGGGTAAAAGTATCGGAATTCTCTTCTCATAATGTCAAGTTTTTCTTTCGAAATAGTAGTTGAAGTTGGGTATTGTGTGTCACCAAATATATAATCCCAAACTTCATCCGTCATTTCTGATGCCTCTATCCCAAGTAGACCAGCTTTTGAGCCATCTAAAGTACCACCATGAAGCAAATGAGATACGGTATAATAGGCCATATAAATTGTTGAATCAGACAAACTTTCAACTAAATACTGAGGATCCCATGGAATTTTAGAACCAAGTCCATATGATCTTGCACAAGCCCATTGATTTAACCAAGCTAAAGTTTTTTCAAACTGATGCCTAGTCTCAAGACCAAAAGTATTTAATTTTTTCAAACATTCTTCAGCTTGCTTTCTCCATTCTGTCTCGCCATAATCTAAATACCATTGATCACAAAGTGCTACTACACATTCATCACCAGACCTTGACATAATAAGACCTTCAGGTTCATTATAAATAAAAGCAAGCCCTTTTGAAACCAATAAATCTTTGATTAAAGTTTTTGCCTCTCGAACAGTCTTCCCAGCATATTCACCTACGATCATAGTTCCATCATAAAAGCCTTCTTTGTAGACCAATTCTTTAGCGTCTGCTAAAGCTACCCGATCCTTTTGTGAATTGATTTTTTTCAATTTGCAAACTTTAGGTGCAGCCAACTCACCATATGTTGGAGTATTAATAATTGGTATTGGTTCAAAATCTGCCACCCACGAAGGATCAATATTATAATATGCTGCCTTTTTCTTTAAATCCTGAAGTGTGATATAATCATCTGGCGAGTCTGAAGGTACCGATGTTACAACCCCTGTTCCTTTTGTAGCCAATACATTCTCCATAGGTAAGACATAGACATGCTCATATTTACTTAATGGTGCATGCACTTTTGTCCCAAGGAGAATCGAACCTTTAAATTCTACTAATTGATCTACAACACCACGTTTTACAGAATATCCTTGAAATGCCATGTTTCGTGCTGCACGATAAGTGCAAATAAAAATATCAGACTTGTTTATTTTGAAAAGACCATAATTTATATCTACGCCAACATAACAATTAGTTTGTCCATACCTATATACAAATATATATATATTCATATATTATATATATTGCAATTAAATTTTTGAAACAATAATTTTTGAAAATTAAAATAATTACATGGTTTCTGGCCTCAATGTTGCAGCAATAAAAAAAATGTTTTTTCCTTCAAGCTCTTTATTTGCACCCAAAAGTTTATTAGCTTTCTCACTCCATTCTATCACCTTGAGTTTAATACCAGTATATTCTTGAGGAGCTAGACCTTCTCCAGAATGACGATCATGATCCATACAAGGCTGTCCATCTTTTGGTGAATAAATTGTGTAGCGCTCACCGAATTTTATTTTATTAAGAACCTTCAACTTTCTCATTTGCCAATGTACAAATGAATCATAATAAGGATTTATATCAGTTGTAATGAAAGATCGACGCCAATCAATTTTTGCTCCCATAGCTTTACAATCTTTCTACAATTTAATAAAAAACATCGTAAATTTTTAATTTCAAAATTAAAAATAAAATTAAAGACTAAACAATACAAACAATTGACAAAGGAGGAAAATAGTAAAGCCAATAATTTGCATCAGCAAATTTAGCTATTTCTTCATTTGGTAAGCCTAAACTTCTCATAATTTGAAATTGCAACTTTTCACCAGTTGATTTTGCGGCAACCTTTCCTTTTTTTTGCATCACTTTTGTTGTGCCAGTTCCAGACGAATCTAATTTTTTTGAATTGTTGTCGTTCAATGTTAAATCATCAACTCCTTTTTTAATATCATCAATTGTTGTGTCATTATTGTCAGGTATTTTAAAATCAGGACCATATAATTCTAATTCACGAGCAAGTTTATCTGCACATGCCTATTTATATATATATATTAAATAAAAACTTTGATCTGCATATATATAATAACACATAGTGGTTAATTACCTTAATTGGCATACCAGTACAATGAAAGCCTAACGGGAACAATGCCCGTTTTCCTTTCATTCGTTCATACCCAATTGCAAATTCAACCTTTGTAATTGTAAAAAAATGCCCCAAATGTAATCTTCCATTCATATAAGGATAAGGAAAAGTACCCATATATTTTGGGTATTTTTCATGTAAGATATTATCGTCCTGTTCGAGAGAAAATTCTTCAATTGTTGGTGCATTAACCTCAAAAATTTTTTCTTTTTCCCATTTTTCTTGAATTTTTTGTTCTATTAAAGCCAAGGTGTCACGTTTAAAAGTCTTTTAGAAAAAAGTACATATATAAACATTAGGAGTTAATTAAATTCAAATCGAATGCAGATTTAAAATGAAATACCTTCTTGGGTTCTTCTGTAGTAGCCATATTATTATTATTTTTCTTCACAATTTGATAATCATAAATGACTCACTTTGATGGCACGTGATATATATTAATCTTAATTGACGATCTGCCTAATTAGGGTTTCTATTTGTAATAAGAAATGGATGGGTCTGGGACACTTTACCGACACCCACTTTACCGACAAGACACTTTACCGACAACACACGGGGTTACATTTAATCTCTACATAATCAAACAAACTAACAAAATGCTAAAATATCACGTCGCGTGTTGTCGGTAAAGTGTCTTGTCGGTAAAGTGGGTGTCGGTAAAGTGTCCGGGTCCGGAAATGGATTAATACAAGTTGTTAATAATACAAGTTGCTAATAATACAATATTTAAGCATGATTTAGACCTCTCAATATAAATGTGAATGTGCAAGGTGGTTTTTTAAGCAATACTTGCTAGAGTTTATATTGATGCTGATTCGTATTGATCATATAACAAACTTAATATATTACTATTATTAAAAGATTATTGCTCAATTGTATTAACCGTCGATCATTTCACTTGATTTTTAAATAATGTTTTCTGATCCTTCAACTGACCGACAAAGTAGTTAGAAGTTTCTACTGGATTTAATAAATAATTTATTTGCAAACTACAAACATCAAAATAATATTACCCCTAGTTAATACACAATTTAATACGTGTACTTTATACACTAAATTAAATTATATACATCAATATAATCCGTATTTTAAATAAAACAAATACCATTTTGAGCAAATTTATAAATAGATATAAAATAGTAAATAGTTAACATAAATAATCAAATAATATATAAATAATAAGCATACAGAATTTAATATTAAAGTTACACATAGAATTGATGGTTGCTTTATTAAACAAAAATTTTTCTGGAAATACATATTGTATATAAAAGAAAGCTATGGGTACAACCCATATTAAAAACTTCCAAAAACTTCCAATTAAGCTTTCTTACTGGGGGGATAAACACTACCTAAATATTTTGGAATGTTACCGTCAATTTCCCAGATATCCGCAGACATTATACCAACTTTTTTAAGATTTATCTCACTTCCATCCTTCAACACAGTCACAAGAGTGACTCGTTCAGTCAAAGGGGGTTTTTCATCAGAGTATGAATCCCATTCCATAACGTTTCTCTCGTTAACAAGATGGAGCCTTTGCATGCATACAGTAAGGTCAATGTCGTCTTTCACTAATACTTTTCGATTATCGTTGCAACTAGCACAACTTGTTTTTCCACGAGAAAATATTGACATGAAACCAGCGAAATTGGGACTGGTGGTAGAAGTTGATGGGTTGTTGGTTGGCAAATCAATGAATGCTCGAATTTGAAATGGCGCGCCAACTTCATTTTTCTTGACTTTTATGTTAAGTTTCCATTTTCTATTCCTGTTTGAGAGTTGAAAGATGAATAATTGATTTAAAATAAGGGAAGCAAGTATAGACAAACAACACTTACGAATTAACAACGTGGTGATAAACCTTTTGCATGGCTTCTAAAAAACCTTTTGGGTCTGTAATTGGTTCCTTTAGTTCAGGATAATTATATCCGAGTTTTTCAATATGTCTATTATTAAACAAAAATTATGAATAACATCAAGTTGATTTGTAAGTAATAAACTTGATATAAAAGCTTACCTAACTTCCGCCGAGGTCCAATAATCATTATCATTTTTAAGAAATGGCTCAAGTTTAGTATCTTGGTTAAGTGTCCTTTTATCATCGGACCATTCCTTAATCCAACTATCATCGCCAGGATGACAAGCTTGCCAAATAGCAAAAAGGCGATCCACATTTGCATGGTGAAGGAAAAATATGGGGTCATAACTCGCAATATCAGGATATGACATATGACCGCCTATTCCACCAATTTTATCATGAGCAACATTATGAACGCCTTCAATTGATGACTCACACGAATATTTAGGTTTGCCATCCGGATCACGGGGTGGTTCGATTTTGGTTGTCATACCAGTGTTACTGAAACTATACCAGTCCTCAATCGAAAGAATGTCGTAAATACTTGGACGAAATGTAGAGCTACACGAAGTGACGATTTCAAGGCTAGTGAAATTTGCATCGGAAGTGTAATTTTGGTTTGGATGTCTGACAGTTGAATATCCGGCTGGTGTATAAGGTTCAATATCCCCATCTGGAATATATGGTCTTTGCGTTGGATTAGAAGTGTCACCAACAAGTTCTGCAATTCCAAGATTTACTGGCAAAGTGTACGCACGAAGAGGATTCCGAATTTTGGTTTCTATTTCTTCGTCACCTGATTCATTTGGGACCATAACACAAACAAATTTATCAAACAAAATCGAAGGTATTCCTTGGCAGAGAATAGATGAGCTGGCCCAATCCCAGTATGGAAACCGAACATTCTCAACTGCCTCTTTGTATTCATCTTTTATATCGCCATCATGATAACTGAAAGTAAAATAAAGTGAATACAAAAACACAAATAATTGAGAAAAATGAAAAAAATATCAATTCTAACCTGTTTACGATCTCCTTAGCTTCATCATATATTAGCCTTTCAAGCAACATGACATATAGACGATGCCAAGTAGGAAAGAGAATATCACTATGACGACAATAACCACCTTGAATCTTAGAAACCCCATCATCATTGTAAGAATCATATGGAAGACCATGAATTCCAGCAACTTTGAAATAAGATCTAACATCATCATAATTTCTTCGTTGAATATTAGCAAAAGCTTGAAGAAACAGATCCCTTTGTTTCTTGTATTTGCACACGTTCATTAGCGCCTCGATAGGCAGACGTGTTTTAACGTTATCTAATAATTGGAAATATGTCATAAGATTATCAAATCACTCCATTCAACAACAATGACTTATTATTACCTTCGCCACTAATAGGATTCAAAACAAACCGTTTCAATGGATCTTCATGATACATTTTGAGCAATTGACTAAATAAAAACAAAGAGAAAAATTGCAGTGGTTTATATATCCAAAATCTAATCTGATATCATTGCTTCAGTTAATGATATAATGTATGTACGATTAATTACAAATAATTATCAAACAAAGAATAAGTGACAGAATTCCAACTACCAACTGGTTAATACCTGATATCTTGAACTTGCGCCTATCGATACACATCGCGATTAAATTCGAAATCCTTTTTTGTAAATTTCAAATAAAATATCTTTTACTGAAATTGGTATATTTAATTACACTCATTTTTTTTAATATTAATATTAATATTAATCAATGGGCGCGAATGGAGGAATGTTCATCCGTCCGTCTACCATATAATAAATAACAATATATTTTTATCTGTTATTGCGTTCAAATCAAATTAAACTTCTCTTTACATTGAACATAATTTGGGAACCTGAATTTACACATCAGTCCGGCAGCTTGAATTCCATCATCATATTGTGGCGGAAACATAGAGAAAACATTTTGAAAAAAATATAATCGTCCATCATTTTGTTTATCTTTAGTAAAGTTATCAACTGACGATTAGATTTTTTAATTCGGTCGCACGGAGCCTGAGACATACTAATTTAAAGTTTGGGCTAATTTACTATGTTTGTTTGGAGGACTGACTGAGCTCATACAAATAGTTCCTAATTTGGAGTATTTTGAAACTTGGATGTCTAGATTTGGAATTGTTTTACTTAATTTAGAAATTTTATCTGATTTTCAAGAATTGATGATGGTGGCCGAAATTATTTTGGAGTTTAGACTCCTAAACTAGTGGCGAAATTTAATAATATTTATATATTATTAAATAAATTTTTAACTAGATAAACTAATAAATAAGGTTTTAACTCGATTGAAGTCATTATCAGTGAGTTGCACTCAATTTCATACACTGATTATTATTACTACTCCTCTTTCCAACATTATGAGTTTCGTCCACAGCTTAAGAGCTTAGTTCACAGCTTAGGATTTTTGCTCACGGTTCCCCAAATTAAGTAGAATATCGTGTAACAAAGAGGGAAAATTTTTATCTATATATTAATATAGAAAAAAAAACAAAGTAAAAATTTTCCGGTTTTTATTCTTATTTATATTTATAATAAATAAACATGTGTGTAATACGCCAAATTATTATCTAACTGCGCATATTAAACCAGTACAATGTAAGAGTTCTGCAATTGTTAAATCCTACACGCCAATTTATCTAGATCTTTTATCAAGCATTGATTATTGATGTTGATTGATAGAAATAGTAATAATAATAATGATTAATTACTATTTGTTACATTGATCATTCGGCACAAGCAATTTGTAATAATAAACCATTTAGTAAGTTATACAATAATATTATATTATATACTAATATAGTATATCGCGTAAGGCAGATAAGTCATTCAAGTAAGCTATATCTACAACAAGATTTTTCCAGCTTTTGCATTGTATCGTCCGCAATGAACTTTTCGTATTAGTACATCATCAAAGGCGCCAATGGAGACAAAACAATTTGTGCCTGAGAGAATTAACATTCACATTTGTTCATTCGAATGTCTTTTTTTTTTTTTTTGAAAGGTCTTGATTCTCAAAATAGCGAAAAATGTTGAGTACCAGGAAATTGAATGATCCTGCCAATTTGGAAATCATTATATATGTGGCACAACTGGATTTCGAACGACATATATGGATTATTATATAGTAATAACAATGCATGAAATTTTGAAATTTTCATCTCTAAATAAGTATCATGTACTCAAAAATCATGTCTGGGAAACAATATATGCAATCTAGATGGGCTAATTTGTTCTAAAAAAGCACGAATTCCACGATGGGTGCATTTTAACGATCATTTGTTAAAATTTAGACATCATCAATATCGTCATCCCAACCAATATCATCTGTATTATACATGTTATCAAAATTAAATTGGCTTTGACTCAATTCCCAAAATCTCTATTTTTAATTGCGTCTGACTCAATTATGTCATATGACTCAATAAATTGTGTCAACACCGCCCAACATCAGTAATATTA